CGTACGCGCCGGTGAGCAGCTACGTCACGCTGAGGATCTTCCTCAGCATCGTCGTCGTCCTCGACCTCAACCTGATGCAGCTCGACATGAAAAACGCATTCCTGCAGAGCAAGTTGGACCGGGTGTTGTACATGTACCAGCCGGACTACTTCAACGACGGGACCGGCCGGGTGTGCAAGCTGCTGAAGAGTCTGTACGGGCTGAAGCAGTGGTTCGCCGGTGCTGTGGTACAAGGTGCTCAATGATGTGCTGGTCGGCGCCGGGTGGAAGAAGAGCCAAGTCGACGAGGCTCTCTACTTAAAGGTCGGCGACGACGAAGTCGCCTACTGGGTGCTAGTCTACGTCGACGACCTGCTCGCCGCTAGCAGCAGCACCGCAATGCTGAAGGAGCTGAAGGAGCTGTTGGAGGCCGCCTTCGAGCTGCGCGAGATCTCGCCGGTGGAGAAGTACCTCCGGCTGGAGATCGTGCGCGACACGCCGTTGAGGAAGTTGTGGTTGCACCAACAGAACTACGCCGACAAGCTGCGTAGGCGATTCATCGACGAGGAGCAGACCGGACGTACCCCGAAGACGCCGGTCTCCGTCGACGCCTACGCCGAGCTGACGTTCGATGACGAGGAGGCACAGGAGCGCCAGGAGGAGGAGTACCGGCAGAAGGTCGGCTTGCTGCAAATCGCGGCGTCGAGGACGAGCCCGGACATCGCCTTCGCCTGCAGCAAGTTGGGGAGCGGCCTCACGGTGAGGAGCGACCAGCACTGGCGTGATGTCGATCGCTGCCTTGCTTACCTCGCCAACACTCGTGATACCGCCCTGGAGTTCGGCGGTGGACCAGAGACGCTGGAGCTGGTCGGCTACGTGGACGCCGACGACGCTGGCGACAAGCAAAACCGGACGAGCACGGGCAGCTACGTGTTCGTCTACGGAGGGGCCGCAGTCTCCTGGTCGAGCCGGCGCATCAAGTGCGCGACACTGTTGTCGACCGAATCAGAGTATGTGGCGGCAACCGAAGCCGGCAAGGAGGGACGCCGACTTCGCTTCCTCCTTGCAGAGTTCCAGCTGCTGGACACCGGGAAGCCGACCGTCTTGCGGGTGGACAACAAGTCGGCCATCACGGTCGCCGAGGGCTTGGGGCTGCAGGGCAACCTCAAGCACATGGAGCGGCGACAGGCTTGGCTGCAGCACATGGTGAAGCGCGGGAAGTTTGCGCTGAACACTCTACATCCCGACCACCGAGCAGCCGGCCGACTTCCTGACAAAGGCGCTGCACTATCTGGCCTTCAACCGGTGCTCCGTCGCAATCGGCCAAGTGCGTCTGGCCAACGTCGGCGACGGTGACAACGACGTGCAGCAGTAGGTGCCATGCCCTCTTGCATGGCTGGTGCGGTGACCGGCGTGCTGTGTGTTGTGTGCACGCCGACGACGACGAGCTATTCTCCGAGTAGTGCTACCATGTGGGATGGAGGCCCAAGCGTGAACGCGGTAGGGGAGTGTCAACGGGAGTTGTGTGTTGGCCCTGTCCTCGCTTGGGCGGAGCCGACTTCGTGTTTGGGTGTACGGGAGGTACAGCCGACTTGCAGCAATGGGCGTCGCCGACTTGGGCGAGCTGGTCGACGGGTTTGGTCGACCTGCACGAGGCCACTGAAATGTCGCCGACTTGGGAAGCCGGTGGCCTACTCCAACTGGTGGTCGACGATGGGGTTCGTCGACTTGGAAGTCGGCGCCGACTTCAAAAGCTCGCCGACTTCTGAAGGTCGACTTGTAAGTCGGCGCCAACTTGGGAGGTCGCCGACTTCAGGAGGTCGTTGACTTAAAGTGGCCGACTTAGTGGCGCCGACCGGGGGAGTAGCCAACTTGGTGAAGTCGGCTGGTGGTGGTCGTCGACTTGGGTGGTCTGCGAGCACGTACAACTGCTGGTCGACGCCGACCTGATGGTCAAGTCGGCGCCGACCTGGGAGGGTTTCCAGGTTGACCAAGTAACCAGGGCGACCAAGCGACGAAGTCTGTGGAGGAGCGCGACGGTCGCCCGGGTGGTTCCGGCAAAGCCGACCTCGGTGGTGGTGTCCCGAGGTCGACGTGGCTTATCAGGTGCAGTTGATAGCGCGTTGACGACCTGGTGCTCTTTGTTGTGTGGGTGATGCGGCACAGCGCGCCAATCATCTGCGTGCACCTGAGAAGCGGGTGCGCTATTGCCTTGCGTATGCAACGCTGTGCAGCCGCCTTGCTGCAGCGTTGGCACGCCGTCGACTTGCAGCGTTGGCAGGCCGCGACTTTGCACTGCTGGAGCACGGTCGACCAAGTCGTGCTGGCACGCGGTTGACCGTGCTGCGCTGGCAGTCGACCTGCATGCTTGCTAGCTCTGATGTAGTCAACCTGGCCAATGTTGCTCCTATCATTCTGAACCTTTGTTGTCAACTTCTGCTAGTGAAACTCTTGCCGGATTTCCTCGTGAATGCGCAAGTAGTCAGAGCACGAGTAAACGACTAAGGAACGAACGCTACGATCACTCCTACCCCGTGCCTAGCCCACTGTCTAACTCTCGTTGATAGAGTTATCTCCGCATCCCCGACATACCGGGCAATGTGAGGGCCCCTTGCCCGGCCCGCCACAACCCGAGCATGAACGCCAACCGAACACGACAGCCATGTCGTGCGACAACAACCACTGCGGGTCACCCGCAGGCAGACAGGTGAGGGCTGACAGGGGCCATGAGATGCTCTGCTCTAAGGATAAATAAGAGGCGATGCCAATGTCATCACGGGGACAACAACTTTTTGCAGATGCAGTGTCGTTCGCAACTTGAGATCTAACACAGTTGAACTTTGTAACGCAAGTTTGTTTCGTCCCTCAACGGCTTAGGAGCAGCTCCTGTTATTAGAGGCTCTAGAGGACGAGGCGCAGTAGTAGTACTACTAGTGCCACATCACTCCTGCGCTATGGCGCGGTTGTGCTAGAGTGGTAAGTCCACCTCCTCCCACCATCACCATAATACTCCCACACTCGCTCTCACTGTCCCTCACTCTTCTGCTGCATCCTTCTGCCTCGCTAAAGCATTCTCATGTATCGTGCCGTAGCAACTGCACTTCATGTATGCACCTCAGTACTCTCTCCCCATACTCTCGATCTCTCCAAGATATCATGATTCATGTCTGACGGGTCGCACTATTCGTGTCTGCGCATGTTCAGAAGCGGTGCGCCTGGCGCCCACCATTCGCACCGCCGCTACTCTCGGCAACGGTACTGCCAGTGGCGGCAACGCCGCTACAAACAAGACTGCTAGCACTAGCACTCCCAAGGTGAGCTTGCCTGAATGCCCAAGGCGCGTGCGCATGATCCCACGGCTCGTGCGCATGTCCTCCCCCTGAAACGCTCTCTTAGTAGGAAGGGGGGACATGACGCATGGCACCACCCCCGGGCTTCTCAAGGAGAATCACTCCTACACCCGAAACATGTTGAATGGCTTGAAGCATGCCTCTCTGCACTCGTCCGCTCATCGGCTCATAGGCTCACCGGCTCATCGACTCACTGGCTCATCGACTCATCGGCTCACCGACTCAACCGTGTGCAGCCTAGCCTATCACGTGGCAGCTCGGCCTGGATGCTTGTGCTGACCGGCCTGGATGTTTGTGCTGACTAGCCTGGATGTAAGTGCTGACCGGCCTGGATATTTGTGCTGACTGGCCTGGATGTAACTGCTGACCGGCCTGGATGTTTGTGCTGACCAGCCTGAATGTTTGCACTTATCAAGTGACACCTAAACCACAACACCCTTCCCGCTGCCTTTTGCTACTACAGGCGGGCGAGTCGTTTCATTTCACATTATGGCTGTTAGATCGTGATTGGGGCAAAAGGGACACGCCGAGTGGGGGGGATACCATTTGCACGCCTCTTTCCCTCCCCCTCGCACTCCCTCACTCTCTTATCTCTCCCCCTCGCTCTCTTATCTCTCTGTGTCGCGCTCCTCGCTCTCTTTTATCTCCCTTTCCCACTCCCTCGCTCTCGTTTCTCTCCCCCTCGCACTCCCTTGCTCTCGTTTCTCTCTCCCTCTCCATCCCTTGCTCTCGTTGCTTCCTTATCTCTCTCCCTCGCACTCCCTCGCTCCCTTATCCCTCCCCCTCCTCTCGTCGTGTCTTGGTTCTTTGTGTACTCCAACACTCAAAGTGTTGGGCAGCCACGGATTTATGACCAGAGCCTACAGTATGGTGGTTATATCTCTAAGGAAGAGATTAGTTACTATGTAAGAAGGCTGCCAATGATTTGTTCCTTTCCTGGCAAGAAGGCTCTCGCTTCCTCCTCCCCCCCCCTCTCTCTCTTCCTTTCACCTCTCTTCCTCCCTTCTCTTCCCTTTCCTCACTCCACTATTTCTCTTATCATGTCTGGTTCGCTTTGTGTGCTCCCTAACCACAGTGCTTGAGCATGTCGGATTCATTCCCCCTAAGTATTTTGTACAGTTTGATTACAAAAACGGTTATGAGAAGTGCAACTACAGGGTGGTACAACTTCCGAAAACATTTAGGGGTTTCGGCGAGAAATACGAGTGCGTACCTTTGTCTACCTCTTTTTTTTTTTTTTTTGGCATATTTCACAGTTGTCTTTGCCTATTTCTTTACCCCATCTTTGGGGAAAATGTATTTGCTGATGCGTGTAGAACTATTCATATTGTCATGCAGGTCCATCATGCCATTCTACACTAACGGCGATCACCTGTACTTTGGCTCGAGCCCTTGGCTGTGCAAGCATTTTAATATTAAGCTTAAGGTCTCCATGAAATCTTACACACCATGACACGACGAGTCAAGTCTTGGTACGGTATTCCCTTGGTACGGAAATGCAATGTACATTTTTCCTTCTCTTCTCTGGTATAAGACTCCTATGGGGCCATACATACTCACTTTGTGGCGGCTAGGTTGAGGTGCCTATGGCACAAAGCAAGCACTGGTTATTCCGTACTAAAATGTTGTCTTTTCTTGTGTGCAGATATGAGCAATACCGTATTACCGTCATTAATGTAAAAAGAGGGGGGGAGAGGGAAGAGGAGAAGAAATTTTGCTGTACCCCCAGTTGCTCGCTTTGTGGCCAAACCCCTTGGTCACGCGGTCGCGCAGGTAGTTGAACTGGCCCTCGGGCCACCTCTTGGCGTAAAAATATGAAGCTCACCTGAAGGGGGAAGCGATTGGGGGGATGGGAGGGCAAACCCCTTGGACACACGGTCCCGCAGGTAGTCAATTTGACCTTCCAGCCACCTCTTGGCATAGAATATGAAGCTCACGTGGGATAGCAGGGGAACAAAGAGAAGGGGGGTCGGGGGGAATGGGAGGGGAGGGGTGGAGGGGGAGTGAGATGGAAGGGGTTGGAGGAAGTGGGGGGGCGAAGGAAGCAGGGAAGGAGGTGAAGAAAAACCCTTTTACTCGCATTGCACCCAAACCCATTGGTCACGCGGCCACGAAGGCAGGCTGATACACCACTTCTTTGCATGTGATAGGGAGCTCAGATGATGAGGGGGATGCGATAAGAGGGGAGGTGAAGGGGAGGGAAGACGGGGAGGGAAGGGCGTAGGGAGGGAATGAAAGGGGGGAAGAAAGGGGTGAGGGAAGGTGGAAAGGGAAGGGGATGACAAGAAAGTGCCAGATGGATGGAAGGGGTGTTGGGCAAAAGAGGGAAGGGGGGTGAAGAATGAAGAAGTAAATGAGCCGGGAATACATTCAACCTTTCTTTCAGTTGATACCTAAATCTCCATATGAACAGTATGACTCTTCCCTAGGTGCAAGTGAATGTCTAGAGACCGTCATCCTTCTCCCTACAGCGGCCTGAGGTTGGATTGAATCATACCTGGGCCTCAAATCAACCATACCTGGATCTCCGGCTGCACGCCGTGGCTGTTCTCCAAGTGCAGGTGAATGTCAAGCGTCTCAGTGCCATCATCCCCTCCCCAGTGCGGTATGAGGTTGCGAATGAGCCATGCCTGGGCCTTAGGTGTTACATGGATCTCCGGCTGCACGCCGTGGCTGTTCTCCAAGTGCAGGTGAATGTCAAGCATCTTTGCGCCATCATCCCATCATCTCAAGTGATACTGTATGCTATATTATGGAGGACACGAAACAAACCATACCGTGTCTTTGGCGTTACCTGGATCTCAGGCTGCACACTGTGGCTGTTCTCTAGGGGGGGTCAGGGGGCTTTTTAAAAAGGTCGAAATGGGTTGGGGGGGAAGGTCGAAACGGGTTTGGGAGGGGGGGGTGGGGATTTATGACCGCGAGTGTCTATTTCGCGGTGGGTAAATTATTTTTCCGGTCAGCCCGAAAAAAAAAAAAAAAAAAAAAAAAAAAAAAAAAAAAAACGCCAAGCGTCCTACGTCCTTGCGTGCGTCTTTATCCACATAGTTTACCACCACGAACCCAACGAGACATCCACCACCACTAAAAACAACCCCATGTCTCACCCTCTCACCACCACCTATCACCACTTACCAGCGCCTAGCACTCGGGGCTGTCCACCTCTGGTGCCTTGAGCACTACGTCCTCGAGGTCATCCCCTGTCATGAGCGGGAACCGCACGTGCTCCGCCAGACGCACTGCTGCCTGCCTGCAGTGGTGGGTGGTGTAGTGTGGTGGAATGAGAAGAGGGCATAAATACTCAATGGTGGGACACAACACCACGTGCTCGAGGTCATCCCCTGTCATGAGCGGAAACCGCACATGCTCTGCCAGACGCACAGCTTCGCGCCTGCAATGGACGGCAGGGATTGTTGGAAAGTGGTAGTGTGAGGTGGAGAGTGGTGGAGATGGAACAAGAACGTTGAGGCATGATGGTGACAATATAAGAGCACAGCACTACAACTTTGGAGTCGCCTATCACGAGGGTGAGGGTGAGGGTGAAGGGCACATGCTCCGTCAGCCGCACTGCTATCCCTCACAGTCTTCTCGCCCCTCACCAATAGCAAGAGAGGGTGGGGTGTGTGCTGTGCACGCATGCACATGAGAGGGGAGAAAAAACGACTCACTTCCAATTGTCCAAATGACTTTTGAGTCGACTCAAAAGTCATGAGAAGCAACAACTCACTTTCGGTCGTCCAAATCACCATAGTAGTGCCTCAGCCACCCCACCATGGCATGGAACACAGTCGGTTCTTCCCTCGCTTGCAGCAAGAGAAGGCGTGTATGTGAATGGAGTGCGTGCGTGCATGTGCATGCGTGAGAAGGAGCGAACGGGGGAAATGAAGGGGGAAGGAGGAATTGTTAATAGGAAATAACCCCGCCCTTGCTTGGGCAATGTCGACTTTGCATCCAGGTGCGTGGGATGTGCGGCCGGCTACTATCAGTGGTCGACGCCGACTTGGGAGAGTTGCAAACCTGCAGGTGCCGACCTGACTGGCAAGTCGACACGGTCGACCAAGTAACCAAAGCGACAAAGTTCTGCGGGGGGTGTCGCAGATGTCGCCCAGGAGGTTTTGGCGAAGTCGTCACGTGATCGGCGCGACGTGTGTGATGGTGCAAGACGTGCACAACGCCTACAAGCACCTGCGAAGTAGGTACACACACATGCGCTTAGAGTCACCTGCAGTTGCAACGCTGGCAAGCCACCTAGTTACAACATTGGCAAGCCGCTCTGGTGCAGTGCTGGCAGGCCGCTGTTATAATATATCCTATGGTATTCTTGTTTTGCTAGTGTTACACCCAATTCTGGGTGTACACTTTGTTCGAGGCGCCCCAACCACTTTGGTTTCGGGCACCCCAACCCCCACCTACGCCACAATTGTTGGGGGCCACTTTGGTGGCCCGTGCCAACCAATTATTGGTCCGCCAACAATTGGTGGCTCGTCCCAACCATTATTGGGTAACCAACAATGTTGGCCAACCAATAATTCTGGGAGTGCACCTCCTAGTTTCCTCGCTTTTCTTTCTCCTATGTAAGCCTAACGTCTCCCTTAATACAATCAACTCTTGAGTTCACCTCTAATCCCAACTGTGGGATTTTCACAGCCGTCGACTTGCAACGTTGGCAAGCCACCTCCAAGCTGCGCTGGCACGGTGTCGATTTGCAGTGCTGGTGGGCCGCGTCTGTGCTGCGCTGGAAGTCGACCTGTTTGTGTGCTAGGTTGCTACGTCTCTGATGTAGTCATTGTTGCCATTGCTTTTTGCATCATTGTGTCGCGCGGTTTTACTACTCAAACTCTTGCCAATTTGCCAATTCGCGCACTTTTGTCATTGTTGCCAATTTGCTTTTTGCCTTGGAAATGCGCAAGTAGAAAGCACATGAGCAAACACTACGATCACTCGTACCCTCCCTAGTCCTGCTCTCGATGTTGACTGACTCTCAGCAGCGATGAGGGGGAAACGAGGAGCGGGGGAGTGGGGAAGACAAGACCACTCACTTTCTATCGTCCAAATCATCATAATGGTGCCTCAGCCACTCCACCATGGCATGAAAGGCCGTGAGCTCGTCCCTCACATTCAGCTCATCACTCGCCAACAGCGTCTACACCCCCACCAACGGCAGCTCTAGAAACTCCTCCCCCTTATGCACCCGCTCCAGATCTCTAAAATGCGCCACCAGGATCCCTCGGGAAGCTTCCAACAGCTGCGCGACTCCCCTATGCGAGTGCATGGAGTCGGGGAGGGAGAGGAAGAGGCGGGCGGTGGGGACGGTCATGGGGAGGTTTACGAGGCGCTCGAGGCAGATCTTCATGTAGGAGGCGACGCCGAACTTGTCTGCCACGAGGTACATCTTGATGATGTCTTGTGGGTCGCTGCTACCCTCTGCCATGTCGCCCGTGTAGATGAATCGCAGCAGGTCGATCACTGGGCCCTCCTCTGACGGGGACGGTGGGGAGGGGACATGGATCAGGGAGAGGAGAAAAAGACAAGGAGGCGGCATCTTGATGTCCTCTGGGTGACTGCTGCCCTTCTGCATGTCACCCGTATAGATGAAGCGGAGCAGGTCAACCACTGGGCCCTCCTCTATGTTGACTGCCCGATTGTCTGAACGGTTGAGGAAGGGGATAATGTGGGGGGGAGAAAGAGCAAGCTGCTTTCTCTACCCTCCAGAAAATTTTGTGCTCGCCACCCGTACCGCATATCACCGACCCTTACCGTCCATTCGAACTGGTCATCGACGCAAGCGACATCCCTGTGGGAGCAATACTGTTGCTGGTCTTCGGGAACGGCCTTCAACCAATCGTGTACGAGTCTCGCAAGCTTCACCTGCCCGAACGCATCTACCTGATACACGACAACAAGAAGTTGGCAATTGTGCATGCATTCAAAGTGTGGCTATGCTATCTCACAGGAGCCGACGTGACAGTACGGACAGATCGCTACAGTACCTACGCGCCCAACCGAATCTCAACCAGTGACAGATACGGTGGTTGGACTATCTGGAGTCCAACTTCCACTACACCGTCATGCACAAAAAAGGAGCCTCGAATATCGCTGATGCCCTCACTCGTCCCACTGCCCAACTCCACGCCATCCTACTCGCCCAAACCAACCGTCTATTACAAGACTATTCACCCACGGATACTGCACCGACCTATTTTTCACCACCGTAAATACACAGCCACTGACGAAAACAAAGGGAGTCTATTACGTAAAATCTGGCACCAATCGCATCCGGCTACCAACATATTCACTACTCAGGGATATGTTACTGTAGGAGGCACACGATGGGGTATCTCGGGCCACTTCGGGGTAGAAAAAACGCGACACCAACTGCAGCGGTATTATACCTGGCAGGAGCTGTTGACTGACGTACAGCACCACGTGGGATTGTACCCCACGTGTCAGGTATTGAAAAGATCGCGCAAGAAAAAGGCGGGTCAACTGCATCCGATTCCACCGCTCGAGCGCACCTGGCAACAAGTTACAATGGATTTCGTCACAGGGTTACCCTCGAGCCCTGGTGGTAACGACTCAGTCATGGTTGTCGTTGACCGACTGACGAAAATGGCTCAGTTTGCTACGTGCTGGAAATCGATCTAAGCCGAAGAAACCGCATGCATGTTCATCGCGACTATCGTCTGCCAACATGGGATACCAGCCGCGATCATCGGTGACCGCGATACGAACTTCACAAGCAACTTCTGGAAGAATCTTTGGGAGCAATTCGGGACCTGATTACATTTCAGCTCGACGTACCACCCCGAGACCGACGGTTAGACGGTGCGGACGAACCAGACCATGGAGCAGTTGGTTCGTGCCACGTGCGATGACTCGACAACTTGGGAGAAGCAGTTGTTGCTGATCGAGTTCGCATACAAGAAGGCCACGTCAGCAACGATGCAGCAGTCACCGTTTTACCTGAACTACGGACAAAACCCTACAGTGCCTATGACGCCGAGCCCGGACAACCCCACGCCACGCGCACAACAGTTCGCCGAGATCCTGCGAGCTGTCGGGATGCATGCAGCAGACGTAATTGAAAAAGGTGAATATCATGTCGCATGAAGTGACGAACTGCTGCACATCCGTTGCCATCCGGGGCCAGTAGTAATACTTTGCTATTCCCGCTAACGTCTTGTTGCTCCCGAAATGTCCCGCGTATGCCACATCGTGAAATTCCTCCAGTAAGATCTGTCGGAGCGGGGCATAGTTCGGTACCCAAATCTTTCCTGATCCCTTTCTTACAGCTAGGTCCTTCTCCCACTGTAACAGCTTCTCTGCTGTAGCGATCTCTGCGTCCACGGAGTATCCATGCTGGAATAGACCCTTGAGAAGAGGGTTCATCCCGTCGAGTTGGATGCCTGCTACATGACCGGGGCGGCTCAACGCGTCAGCTTTGTTGTATAGCCCGGGCTTGTAGACGATGTCGTAGTGGAAGTGGGTCTCCAAGAAGTCCACCCACCGCACCTGTCGTCGTGAGAGCGTTGGCTGCGACTTCAGGTATTTGAGGCTGCAGTGGTCAGTGTAAACTGTAGTCTTGGCTCCCTCTAGGTAACACCTCCACGCCTTGAAGGCTGTGACTATCGCTAAGGCTTCCTTGTCATGGATAGGGTAGTTCAGTTCTGCTCCATGTAGCTTCTTACCCAGATAGGCGATGGGCTGTAAACCGCGTCCGTGATCCTGCATCAGTACTGCTCCGACTGCTTGGTCACTAGCGTCTGCTTCCACCACGTAGTCTCTGTCTGGATCCGGTAGGATGAGTACTGGCGCTGTAGTCAGTGCTGTCTGTAGCTGCTCCATGGCTTGCTGTTGAGGAGTATCCCATTTATAGGGCGTATCCTTTTTCAGTAGGTTGGTCAATGACGCTGCTATCTTAGCGTACTGCGGCACGAACCTGTTGTTGTAGATACACGCCTTCCGGTTGACCCAGTCGATCTCGGGGTTGAACCGCTTCAGAAAATCACGCCCCAAGATGAAATCTAATCCCTTGATGTTCGTGATCGGCAACGTCGGCTCCCACCTCAACGCCCCTATCTGTAGCTGCAGTGTTGACTCGCCGTGGGTAGGAAGCTTTGTACCGTCCACCATCGTTGCAGTGAACTAGGTCTCCTCCGATGACTCTCCAATTTTCTCCAACGTCCCGCGGTCGCACACCGAGTGGGACGCACCACTGTCCACCAGTGCCTGGAGGCGTCGCCCGTTGCAGATCACCTCGAGTACTAGTGGCTGCTGCCGCTCCGAGTAGCTGTAGATGGTGTTGCTTACAGGATCATAAGGTAGATCAAATGTATCGTCCCTTGGTCCTGCGCTCGAAGCTGCTGACTCCATATCAGTTTCCAACTTAGCAGGGTTAGAAGGATTTATCCGAGGCCGATTCAGCTTCTCTGGGGCCTGGAACCTTCCCCTAAGCCTTTGCAGCTTTGTAGGCTTCTCCTGTGGGGAATGACTGGGAGCCTTTAAACAGGGCTGCTGGGAGAGAATATTAACTCCTCGGAACGCTCGACCCTTATTAGCGCTCCGGAGTAGGGTCCCCATATTACCCGGTACCGGTTTAATTTCTGACTCTCCCTTAATAAAGGCTTGAAACCCACGAGAAGTAATATTCTTACTTGTCGGGGTGTACGGCTGGAGTTTCCCGGTCGGTGCAGGGTCTTGTTTCGCGGATCCTCTTTTAGTCTCGGCGATTTCCCCTGGTGCCGGCTGGTCGTGACGTTTTAAATTCGCGCCACCATATTCTCCTTTTTCCGCCCTCTCCGAAGTAGCCACGTTGTCCGTTTTATTGTCCCTCAGCTCCGCACGGCTTTTCTTCATTTTCCAACACGCCAAGATACGATGTCCTGTAGCGCCGCAAAATTCGCACGTCGCATTTTTTGCTAGCCGCTGCGTCGCATCGTCCTTGTCGTTCTCCATCGGGTCGGCAGTCGTGGGTGGTGCCGATCGCTCCATGCCACTATTTGGCTTGTTGCGTCGTGTTCCGTAGTAGCTACTGTTCAACGTGTCGAACTGTTCGATCAGTGCTGCCCGAAACTGCGCCCACGTCCCTTCGCCTTGGACTATTCTGTTGTTGATCCACTCTAGAGCTGGGCCTCGTAACAGTGCTGCCAGAATCAACGGACTGGAATGATTGAACTAACAGAGAAATCAGTACAAATAGCAAACCCTAAAACTGTGTACCCCATATAGGCTAACCCACTGTAGCCTAACAAACCCAACATATATAATGTTTGACACACCCCCATAGGCAAAGTGGGGGAGACCTAGGGGTCACAAGACCAGTCAAGGCAAAGCAAGGCAACAACAAGCTCAGGGTGGATCTCGAGGATTCCACACAAATTCCGAGCACAAGCTAGTGGTCACAAGACCAGTTCACATGCAGGTTTATAACAGAGCCAGAGATACAGTGATCACAACCTAGCAAGAGTAAACATGCAGGTATAGATATATATAGTGATCACAGTACAAGCAAGGTCAAGAGGTAAGCAAGTGAGGTCCAGTAGGCACAAGGCCTAGTAGAGTGCAGAAGCGCTGATGGTCACGAGGCTGAAGCGCCTTGGTGAACACATCAGCAGTGTTGGCCTCAGTGGCCACGTAGCGAATACAAAGCTGACCGCGCTGCTGCAGCTCTCGAGCAAGGAAGTACCGCAGGGCGATGTGCTTCGTTCTGTGCTCCAGTCTGTGCTCCTCACACAAGGCAATGGCAGCCTTGTTGTCGACGTACAGTACTGGAGGAGAACGAGGCGGCTCTCCGAGGTCAGTCAGCAGGTAGGTCAGCCAGCGTAGCTCCTGGGCAGCCATGGCTGTAGCGTAGATCTCAGCCTCGCAACTGGAGCCGAGAACAGAAGAAGAGCGTGTAGAGCGCCAAGAAACTGAGCCAGAGCCAAGGCTGAAGGTGTAACCCTGAGACGACCGCTGAGTGGCCTGGTCGTCTGCCCAAGAAGCGTCTGAGTGCCCTGTGAGCACAACTCGGTCTCGCCCTCCAAGCACAAGCCCCATGCCCGACGTACTGCACAAGTAGCGCAACACCCTCTTAGCGGCATCCATGTGCTCCTTCCTGTGACGGCCAGGAGCGACATAGCGTGCAAGGATGCTAAGAGGGTATGCAAGGTCAGGTCGAGTGCAGGTCATCAGGTACATGAGGCAGCCCACAAGCTCTGGATACGGGCCACTCGGCTCTACGGACTCATCCGAAGGCAGAGCTGAGAGCGAGTGACCGGTAGGCAGAGGAGTGGACTGAGGCGAGGAGTACGTGAAGCCAAAGCGCTGGAGAACCTGCTGCACCATGTGTGACTGAGTCAAGGTGATGGTGCGCCGTGCTCTGTCCCGGGTGATCCGCAAGCCAAGATAGCTTGTCAGCTCACCCAGGTCTGTGCACGTGTGTCTCCTCTGCAGCTCCGACTTCACGTAGGCGAGTCCTGCAGTGTCAGCAGTGGCAAAGACCAAGTCGTCGACGTACACGAGGATGTAGAACGGCGGCAGCGAAGTGTCGGTGCGCAGGAA